CCCACGCATGGCAGCTTATCACGAACATGTGGATATACGAGTGGACTATCATCGAAAAGTAGGCTATCGTTCTCGTGGCGTCATCACTGGCATGTGCTCACCGGAGCCGACAATCATGACGGATGCGGGAATCTCGAGACTTGAAGAGAGACTGAGGCTTTGATAGATACGATCCAAATTTCCTCCTTCGGGTAGCGGCATGGTGAATTGCTTGGATCCTGCGAATAGCCGTTCAGGCTCGCGAGGTTAGGCATTGGCCTTGGCTGAAAAGTACTTTGGTGTTGAATGGTTCAAGTTCAAAGTGACCTGCCTCATCAGGATGATCTAGCACTTTTCGATTATCATGCAAAAGGCAGGCGACCCAGAGTGGCATCCATGTCTTTGTAGCATTTCCCGGAGTGCGGGCTCCTGTTGGAACATGGTGCCGGCCTAGGGTTGCATTGAGAGAAAAAGCTGTTGTCTAAAATGAGATGGAGATTGGATGTTCTGATCCTGATCATAGTCCAGTAGGAATGACAGAGAGTGTCCAGTATGAACGCCGCAGGAGGGACTTTTCGCACCACCACGCAGCACTCACTCCGAAGCACGAAACGGGCTGCATCGCAACAGAAGAGCGTCACTCAATAGTATCTTGTTGGGAGGAGTGACTTAGTCCCAAGCCTAGTAACCGAATTGGCCACTGCTACAATGCCTGGCATGAATCACCGGAAACATCATCCTACATGTTGTAGAAGAGCGCGCTATCGTTGAATGAACCCGTAGTTCGAGATCCAGGCCACCGACATCAGAGATATAAGATGATGGCTAGACGACTCACCACTGCCATCTCCAGAAAGCGTTCGTCATCCCTCAAACAACAGCAGCAGGTTGGAGGCGATGGCGAAGGCAACCCCGAGATCCCACCCTTCGAAGTCGCTGCTCGGATCGAGACCGCGTGTGAGAAAGGCGTGAGTCAACCCCCGTGTGCTATCAAGACAGTATATTGATTCGGGAACAGTGCGATGTGACTGGAACAGTAGGTCGTAACTTCTTCTCGATCGACAACCCGTGCAGCTGTGACGAGGCTTTGGATGTCAGTATCCCTTTGTTGGCATCTCTCGCCACAGCTCGGGGCTGATTCTTCGGGAAGCACTCGTGGGACGAGGCGTCGGGGGAGCTTCACGTCAACAGCGCAGGTGATCGCGTGGCCCATTGTAATCAAGTCGAATCTTCGGTGTCCAGGTGCAGCTTTGGCGCTCAGGGAGGTATCAACTGCGCTGTTTCGCGTGACTGGAACTGCTACAGTTGATGCTGCTGAAGGCTTTCTGTTAGGCCTGAGCATTGGTGCCCTGGTGGACGACTGGATGTAGTAACAGTACAGATCCCACTGCTGTTGCCATACTGTATACTGTACACAAGTTCTGTAGACAATTTCTCGAATATGACACATGTCAAGCACGTGCTGTGCTCGGATCACACATTTACCACAAGGTCGATTTTATATGCAAAAACTTTTTGGGGGCATCACGTTTGGCATACGTCCCCCAGCATAATCAACAGCACACCGTCAAAAACAAAACAAGTGCTCCGAGGCGGATTCGAACTGCCGTCAATGCAGTATTGTAGTAAGAACCACAATGCATCATCCTAACCAACTAGACGATCGAAGCTATGATGGTGGGCGGCCCGAACTGGTGGGGTCATGTTGCTCGAGTTGTGGAGTGGAGCGACAAATTCCTGCCCTACAGTGGAGGCGACCGATGCCGCATCTGGCACCCAGTCGACCGACGATTGTTTGTCGAGATGGATACCAATAGGGGTGAGCAAGTCATGTCGACATGGCATCCGTTAACCTGCGAACGAGATCGAGATCTGGATGCTGACAGATTGGAGATGGAGAATCCCGCCCATCCTCGAGAGTCTTGCTAAAATGAAAACATGATTCAATTAAACATTACTACTGGAATTTCCAATCAGTGCTTTCAAAATGGAAGACCTCTAGGACGAGTGCCGACTCCCGCCTGTCTCATCCGTTCTTGATCCTCGCTTCCAGCTCCTGAGACAACGAATACACTACACATGCCACAGGCGGAAGAGAAACCTCGGCGCCAACCATGACACGCCATACCTCGACCGCGGTGCCGGAGCCACGAGCCGCTCCGTCTCTGAGTCGAATATCTTCCAGCTGCGAAGCATCCACATGCTCAAGGCGCCGGCGACGAACATGAAGGCGACAAAGACCTGCGCCGAAGTGAAGTCCTTGCCGTCCGACCCAACCGACATTTCAATGGCGGCGACCTCGGCAAAAGTCGTGGGCAGCACCATGGACAGGCAGACGACGCCAAAGGTGCCGGCCATCTTCTTCATGCCGACAACCTCGACAAGCACGGGCGTGATGGTGCCCCAGAAAGTGCCACACGTGGCGCCGGCGAGAACGGCGAACGCGCCCAGTAGCGCGAAGCCCTGTGCGGGGATCCACAGCGCGAAACAGAAGACGGCGCACAGGGCCGTCATGAGCATGGCCATGTTGATCCTGCCGACGGTGTCGCTGAAGTAGCCGACGAGGGGGCGGCCCGAGGCCGAGGCCGAGGTTGAGCAGTGCGTTGCGATGGAACCCTGGGTGGGCGTCATGCCCACGACGCAGCGTAGCTGGGCAGCGAGTATAGGAGACTATGTAGCCGAGCTCG